CCCTCCCCCACTTTTCAAAGTAATTTCGTTGTACTTGTGACAATGACAATAAATGCTATTCATTCATTCATTCATTCATAGTGTAGTGTGTACTCATTAAAGTACAAATACCATATACACATATATATGTGTGTGTATATAATGTGTTTACTTTAATATTGTGATACTTGTATTAGGCTACTGACTACAGGTACTTAGTAACTGTATCATAATTACAGCATTGACATTGTTGTCCATATCTAATGACATATGTATTTCTCCAAGAGAAGAGGGTCTTCCTGGTCCCTTCAGAGGTTAAAGTTGGTAGTTGAACTCCAAACTAGCAGCTGGACGTTTTTCCTCCAGAAAACCTCTGCAGACGTTAACCGTTCGCTCTCCGGACTGCCGGAGGAGTTCAGGAGGAACGAGTGGGAGTCTGCAGTCTGAACCAATAAAAGATCACCCACAACTCCGAGAGCAGAGAGATTTTGTGTGTGTGTGTGTGTGTGTGTGTGTGTGTGTGTGTGGACCTCCAACTTTTTGTCAGCGCTTCCTGGTAGAGTGCTCGTTAAGCAGCGGTTGCCAGGCAACACCATCCGGCCCAGCCAATGAGTGAAGTTTTTGGCAACAGTGTCTCTTGGCAACAGCGTTGGGTTCGAGGGGATTCGTTTCCGTTTGCTGAAGCTTTCTACTCGTTATCTTCACATTAACACACGAGCTCCAGCTGGAGTTTATCTGCCTGCACGGCTTCAGTTCTCTGCTTTTAAACTTCAGCACAGAGCGGTCAGTTTCGGCTTTACGGCCGCGTTTGAATAATTAAAATCGCTTTACATCAAAACAGGAAAGACTCGACTCTAACTGATTCTGTGTGGTCAACAATTCAAGTCAAACTGGCACGTAACGCGGAGGAAAGGAGGTTTATTGTTTCTGAAATCGTAAAGAAAATCCTCAGGGCTTTGGTTTGTACTGTCTGTGGTTTAAAGGGGAGGATTCTGCATTTTTAAACCCAACAGAAACATAACAGATACCAGAGAGACGTGTGTGTGTGTGTGTTAGAGAGCAGCTGCCTGTGAATATGAATATGATCATATTAAACCAGCCGCTCTGACCTTTGACCTTCAGCACACACATACACAGTCATTAATAAACATTAAAAATAATCATTGAGCCCACCTGAAACACGCGCCGGCACATTAAACTCGTCTCAGACCATAATGTTTGCTGCTGTGGAGTGTCTCCTGTTGTTTCCGTGGTTACAGAGACACTTGGTATCTCCGTAGCAACAGACAGCAGGTCATAAAGCAGTGGAAACAAGAAATAAAAAGTAATGGCCAAACAGACGCCTTATGTTTTCAGCACACACACAGAGTACTGCAGCTCATAATGGCTCATTGATGTACAACATGCAGCGTGGGATCATGGGAGATGTTGTCTTCACCACCATTGCAGTCCGTTTCTGTTCGTTGTTCGACCGGGAGCCCAAGCTGTTGCTAACCCTCTACTTAGCATGTTTATATTGTGGCGCAGTGGTACAGACTTTAGACGCTGTAGAAGCACCAGACTGCGATCTTTACCTTGATCCCTCACTGACAGACTGTTAGCTCTGTTAGCTCTGACTACCAACTCGCTGTGGTCAGTCTGTCAGTCACAGCGTTCAGTTACTTTAATAATTATAGTGATGTTTCAGTTAAACAGCGACTCGTCAGCCCTCTGCTCATTAAACTAAAGGAAGTTTGTAGAAGTATGCATGTCTCCACGGAAACAGCAGCTGACTTGTATGAGCCAACGCACACACAATGTACACACAGGTGGATTACTTGTAACCATGGTAACCAGCTCTGTCTAAGCAGCATCAGTGCTGAGCTTTATGGGATGTCTGAGGCTCTCTGCAACTGCAAATTCAGATCTTAAACACACATACACAGTCCTTGCAACATAAGAACATTAGTTTATAGACATTCACTGTAAAAGTAATGTAAATACAATGAGACCTTGAGTTTTAGTTAAAGGTTATAATAAATTCACTGCCACTAGATGTTGCACTAGAGCTCCACCATCTCAAACCAAAACAAAAAGCTGGAGCACCAAATAAATACAGTAAAATAACAGAAAATAACTGACTCATAAAATATATTAACTTTCTATAATTAAAATACAGTTTTTAGCTTTATTTGACTAATAATTAAAGATAATGAGCTATAAATACAGGCGAACACTGCTATAATACAAAAAAACAGGCTTAAATTAGAATTTTAAAAGTTATAGAACTGTTATAAAAGTCATTATCTGTAAAATGTCAGTAATTATTGCTGTTAACACTGATGAAAACTGTATTTTGTTGTGAAAACCTTAATTAAACAAGATATCTGTCAATTAACAAACCAATCCATGTGAAATTACATTGTTGATTGTCACTAATTTTACATGATTTAAGAAATGTATTAACAGTTTAATATAACAGTTTAACAGTTTCATTAAATAAACAGTAAGTTTTTTTAGATATATTTGCAAATGTTTTTATGTGAAAAAAAATATTTTTTCTTAAAATCAGCAGTAATTTTAGGATTATTTACAGTTACAGGTGTTATTTTACATTAAATTCACAGGCTGTTTTTTGTTTTTTTAAATATTTCCACGTATTTAAAAAATACAAAAAACCCTGTAAAAACAACGGGACAAACTCATAAACGTACCTATTTCTTTGCAGCATCAATTCTGAACGTGTGAGCAGACGTTACGTATTGATTCTTGTTTGCGTGACCACAGAGCCCTTAGAGGGATTCCTACAGCGTCAGATTTTGTCTGAGCCACAGTCCCAGTTTCATTAAGATCATATTAAAAAGAATTTTTCAGCTGAGTCACAACAGGACAGATCAGTGCTCAGGAATCTACATCAGACCTCCACCAAAAGCACCTCAGTGTAAAGTATGAGACTGATGTTAATAATCTCTATTGTTTGTTGTCTCAGTATGGAGTCGTCACAAACTCTGAAACACCAGAGGTGTGTTTGATTTCTGTTACCTGTTACACCTGCTGTGATGAGCAGACTCTCCCTGCTGATGGAAGGTATCTGATTCCTCTGGGGAATCGAACCTGCGTCATCCTGAAGGTGTGATGTCTCCATGCTGACACTTTGAATCTCTCCTGTGGGCGATCCTGGTGAATCTGGATCTTTCTGCTATCAAGACCAGTGACGTTAAAACCAGTTAAATAGTATAAGATAGCTGAAAACTACTTGCTAATGTTTACAAGGTTTTTACACTAGTTTTCTATAATAAAAATACAGTTTTTAGCTTTAATTTTACATAAAATATTGTGTCTTTTTTGTCTTTTTAATGTTTAATTAAAGATATTTACACTGTAAAACCAACGCAATGAGCTATAATACAGGTGAACTCTGCTATAATACAAATAATCAGGCTTAAATTTACAGCAGAGTGCTGTTATTATTTGATTTTTTATTATTTTAATCTGAATTTTAAAA